CCCGTATCCCCCACCCAAGCAAAACCTTGACCACCCCCTCCCTCCCCGACAAAATCGCCCACCACAGCAACGCACGCCCCGTACCGCCTCCAACATCAAACCTGACATCCCCCCTCCGTAATAACATCTCCACGATCCCATGAAGCCCGTTCACCGCTGCCCACCAAAGCGGAGTTCGACCGACAGTGTTCGGTACATCGGGTATGAAGTCTTCCCTCTCCAGGAGCAGTTTCACGATCCCCTCGTGACCGTGCTTGACCGCCCAGAGCAGTGGCGTTTGGTATTGCTCTGGGTCCGGGTGGTTAGGGTTTAGGGATTTTAAGGATGGCAGTTGCTTGACGACACGGGGGTAACGTCTGCAGACGGCCCATAGGAGGGGGGTTAGGCCGTTAATGTCTACACAGTTTGGGTTTACGTCTGGGTGGGATAGGAGCGCCTTGGCTACGCCTTCATGCCCGCGCTTGGCGGCACGTAGGAGTGGTGTTCGGTGGCAGATTGTGTCGGGCTGGTTGGGGTTGAGGTCCTTCCGCCGGAGGAGCAGCTTTACGACCCCTTCGTTTCCACTCGTAGCAGCTGAAGATAGTGGTGTTCGGCCGTCGTTATCTGGAGTGTCGGGGTGGGTATCTTCTGTTTTCAGAAGCAATTCTACCACCTCCTCACGCCCTCGCAGAGAAGCCCACCAGAGCGGTGTTCGGCCGTCATTGTCCGGGGTATTCGGGTTGGCACCATCCCGCATCAACAAAAGCTCCACTATCCCTGTATGTCCGTTTTCGGCAGCCCAGGAGAGCGGGGTTCGATTACATACCGCATCGGACTGGTTCAGATCGAGATCTCCCCGCTGCAATAATAGATTCACTACTCCATCGTGTCCGTTCTCCGTGGCCCACAGGAGCGGCGTTTGGCCGCACTCGATGTCTGGATGATTGGGGTCGAGACCATCGCACTCTAGTAGCAGTCTCACGACTTCCTCGTTTCCATTCTCCGCTGCCCAGGAAAGGGGTGTTTGACCGTATACCGCATCGGGCGTGTTGGGGTTTAGGTCTTTTCGTTCAAGTAATAGCTTGACTAATTCCTCGTTCCCCTCCAAGAGGCTCGCGTGAGTGGTGTTTGGCCGTGATCATCTGGCGAGTTGGGATCAACGTCTCGATGCTGGAGTAATAGCTTGACTACGCTTTCGTGTGCACGTCTAATGGCCCATGAAAGGGGTGTTCGGCCACCATTGTCTGCTATGTTAGGGTCTACGTCTTCTCGCCCCAACAGTAACTTTACGACTCCCTCGCGCCCACGTAGGGAAGCCCACCAGAGTGGTGTCCGACCATCTTTGTCTGTCTTGTTGGGGTCAACACCTTCGCGCTGTAGTAACAGCCTTACGACCTCTTTATGACCACTTCTAGCAGCACACAGAAGCGGTATTTGGCAGTCTAGGTCCGGAATTTCAGAGTGTGCATCCTCTCGTTCTAGAAGTAGCTTTACTACCCCCTCGTACCCATTCATCGAGGCCCACAAGAGTGGTGATTGGCTTATCACCCTGGTTTGGGCAGATATCTCCCCGATCAAGAAGTAGTTTCACCACCCCCTCATGCCCGTGCCTAGTAGCCCATGAGAGTGGCGTCTGACCATCGTTATCCGCTGCGTCGGGTCGAACATCTCTGCGCTCTAGTAATAGCTTGACTACTTCTTCTTGCCCGCTTCTAGAGGCTCGCGAGAGTGGGGTTTGTCCGCCATTGTCTGGCATGTCGGGAATGATATCTCCTCTCTCCAGCAATAGTGTCACGACCCCTTCATGCCCTTTCTCGGCAGCCAGCAAGAGCGGTGTTTGGCCGTCGTCATCTACCGAATTTGGATTCACATCTCCTCGCTCCTTTAACAATTTGACTATTCCCTCGTGTCCATTATATGCAGCCTGAGATAGGGGTGTTCGACCATCGCTCTTACCGGGCATGTCGGGGTTGACATCGGCCCATTCCAGCAAATGTCTCACCACTTCTAAATGACCACCTCTAGCGGCCCATATAAGTGGTGTATTTCCCAAGATATCCCTCCCGTTGGTATCCCACCCCCCTATCTCTCTTAAAAGACTCGCAATTTCACTGATGCCAAAGAATGCCACACAGTGAAGTGCAGTAAATCCTTCGGGCGAACCTTTGACCAACCGCCATGTCTTTGTTAGGAGAAGTGTAGCCGAAACATGTTTATCGTATTTCTCAAAGAGTTGGAGCGCCTGTGCTTTGATGCATTCCGTGGTTTCCCTTCTAGCATGGCTTCCCCAATAGCAGGCAGCGTAATCGAGAAATGGGATTTCTGGGGGTGCACTATACAGAGTCGGCGGAAGTTGCTTGACGCACCGAAAGTTCAGGTACGTCAAGGAAGCTTCAGCGATCAACGCGTGGGTGCTCTCGAAAACATCTGAATGGGCAGAGAGGTATTCCTGGAGTGTGAAGTGTATTAACCGGACTCTTTTAGCCGCTTCATCGATGGTGATAAGTCCGAGACAACAACCTAGCAGCGTCCTTGTCGATGGGATGTTGTGAGGATCAAGATCTTTGGATCCTATCACTACAGCTAGGGCGTGACAGAGCTCGTCTACTCGCAAAGGCCGCTCCGCATGAGAAATCCACATGAGGATTACCATTCCGAGTCTCGATTTGTTTCCGCTCTGGGCTCGTATGCGCTCCAGCGTTGCATCGTACGCGTCCCCGAGGTCTTGACCATTTGTCATCTTCCGGAGTTTTTCCCTCCGTTGGGAGATGGTTGTCTCCCCCAGAATTGCCTCGATGTTTAATGAGACTAACAGAAAACTTGATCCCAGTGTCAGCAAATAACCTGAGTTTGTATGTCACTACTCCTACGTACATCTCCGCGGTTGCGTCCGGCAGGTTCCTTATAATATCTTCCTCTGAGCTCTTGTTCATCGCATCGGGCTCCATGTCATGTGGCCCCCCCGTGAGGAACAGCCGGACGTCTGGTGATTCTTGCAAAATCCATCGCAGTTCTTCAATGAACCCGAGTCGATCCTCGGCCAGAAACTCGTCCAATGCGTCAATACAGATAAACACCTGCTTAAATAATCCAAGGACCGGTTTTAAAATTCTCCGAAAATCAGGAAGCTCAAGACTTCGGCCGCCGATGTTCCACTTTTCCTTGCGAAAAGCCTTTTTTAGCTCTTCCGGGAGTTCTTCAAGCCCGCTCACTAGTTGCTTGAGTATGGACCCTATCATGTTGGTTGTAGACTGTTTCTTTTGGGAGAGGAAATCGCAGTACAGGCAGACGACGGCGACATTTCTCCCAGCCATCTCATCACACAATGTATCGATTACCAGAGAGCTAAAGTGCTGGTTAGCAACTAGAATGCTGCAATCCTAGAGGATGACATCTCTCCCACCTGATATACGTCTTCCCGACCCCTGGGTCCCCATAGCAGACCAGGGCACTATTTGCCGAAGAGCCCTTGCGCCATTACAGAAACTCCTCGGTTTGCAAGAGCCAATTCCCCACACCCTTGACCCGGTGATTGCGGACATCCCGATGCCTACCCCTGGGCTCTAAGGGGGACAACCAAGCGAGAATCTGCGCTTTCTCATCGTCGGGCCTATAGAAGTTGTTGTATACATTATGGCACTTGACATTATTCCGATAGTCAATAAATTTTTCGCTCATCGTGTCTGAAGTGTTACCGATGAACGAGGAATTGAGTGCAAGCGACTGACGGTGTCCTCCAGAGCTGAGGAAAGGCAGGGGATATTTGTGCTCTACGAGGCTGGCGTCAAAAGAACCGAGCATAAGGTCTAATTCGTGTAACGAAGGCTGTTGCAGTTTACCCCCACACAATAACCATACTTTCGTGTCTTCCCACTCTGGGCATTGTTCCCGCGAAGTGAACATCCAAACCCCAGCTCACTACGCGTGATATCCCCGAATTTTTCCAACTACGATACCGTGTAATACCGGTATAATTCTCTTCTCAAGTACGATATCTTGGCCAAAATATTTCCAGCCGGGTAATGGCCGTCAGCCGGCATCCCGCTTTAGACCAACTCTCATAGAGAATTGAAATATCGCGAGCTTCTGCACCAGTAGGTACAATTATCACGAGCACTTACTACTATTCCTCTTTCGCGCAGCACAGTACTCACACTCCGTTCCTCGCGCACGCGACATCCACCCGTTTTACAAGTACAGTACCATAGCAGTTATCAATCCCCCCTCACCCATCGTCACGATAAAGCCCTCCATATCCGGTGACAAAAAGCCCTGAGGAGGATTAACTTAGATTAGATTGGTCCACCGGATGTGTTGGTGCCCCATTAGCCTTCGCTAGCAATCACACGATGTCAAACTGAACCCATTGCGTGAGGAGCTGATGGTGGATTTCGAGGGTTTTTGCAACAGTAATTGGTATGGTTTGGGAGTATGCGATTATTTCTCACCGTTCATATTGGCCCGGTAAGTAAGCAATGCGGTAGAAACTGCGTGCGGCTTCGTCGCGGTTGATTGGAAAATGGATCCGGCGCCAAGGAGGTAAAGTGGGTGCCGCTGTTGCCTGGTGCTTCCTCCTAACTTAATTACCCCGCGTGGAAAAACACACTAGCGCAAAATTTAGGCAATAGGTTAAGTGTTTATAAGTGACTTCTATTGCGATCTTTTCTCGTCGGATATACAAATCTGGCGTTGGAACGGGCGTCCGATTGGGGATTTTACTGGTCGTGGTTGTGGTTATGCGGTCTTATGCAGTCGGGCATCTAACTGTCCGAGAGGGGCTGATGAGATAATTTTATTGGGGGTAGGGACGCATCCCCATCACTTGCACAGCCATGTTCAATATTATCTATGCGGTACTCTAAAGAGAAAAGAAAAAAGAAACAAAAGCAGGAGAGAAAAAAGGGATACAAGACACAACACAGCCGGTCCAGCAGTCATCCAATTAACTCTATCCTTCGACCCACAGCTAAAATTTGGACAGCTAGCCGAGTGAGATCCTATGAACTTGCCAAGCCTTAAGTTTACGAAAATCTGACAACCCATGGACACGGCTTCTCCCCATACGTGGCGATATTCGACTCGAGAACTTTATTAATGTCATCATTGGGCGCGTTCCACATCCTCGTTCCGGAGTCCCTACCCCCCCAAATATTAGCCTTCAACCTCTATGAAACTTCCCCCTCCAGGAAGAGGAAGAAAAAAAAACTCACATCATAATCCCAACATGGTGGATACTGTTCCTCTTCCCAGACGCGCAGCTGCACTCATTGCCGAAGAAAACGGCGTCACCGACCCTCCTCTCCGCATAACCCACCTTGCGCATCCCGTTCGCGGCGAGCGTTGCGTCGCTGGCACAGTACATACTATGCGTGACTCTGAGGCCGGCTTTGAAGAGGTCGCGACCAGTGACTTGACACACGGCCCAGCAGAGGAGTCCGGAACAGTCATAGCCAATCTCGCCGTGCTGGTAGGGTGGCTGGTCCCTGGTTGGGCCGTTGCAGGACCCGCCGCCCCAGGCGTAGGGCGTGCCCGCGGCGGTGAGGGCTTTCTGAAGGATCTTGGACCCGACGTCGCCTCCGCCATTGTTTTGGTTTTCAGGGATGGAGGATTTGACGCAGCACTGTATGTCATTGCCTCCCGGGCAGGGCCAGGGCTAGGGGCGGTGTCAGCTTGGAATGGAATGTTGGGAGGAGGGGAGGGGTATTGTACAGGTCCTGAGCCAGTGTGGAAAGTGCCCCCGGAACAACCGTCGTGGGAGGTACTACGGCAGAAGCCGGTACCGGTGGAAACTGTGCAGGGTATTTCGACGCAGCACTTTGTGTGTATCAGCAGATGTATTACACCGACTTCAAGATTGTGGGGGGGGGGTAGGTACCTGTATGTCGTCAGGATCATTCGGGCAGAATGGTTGTGGATAAGATATCCCGTTGCCTGTAAAGTTGCGTCAATGGTTGATATTCGCATCCGTGACAAAATTTCAACTGTCCTGCTCACATTTCGAAGTACTCTGACAAGTCCCACTGCCCTCGGGGCCAGAGCACCCATCTCCAACAGCCCTCCCGAAAAGCTGCTCGACGGGTGATGCTCCGGCAGCCGCTGCTAAGGAGAGAATGAGTGTGAAGGCTCCGAAGGACTTCATGGTGCGTAGTTTGCTTGCTGCTCGTGCTCAGGTTTGTATGAACGAGTGAATGAATGAACGAACAAGTTTCTTAACGAATGTATAAACGAGGGGACAGTTCACAAGAACGAGCGAACGGAGGATAGAAGGACCAAACGGGTTGAATTCTCCAATAGTAGAAGAATATCGAAACCTCACGAGCGCAATCACCAACCCTTTATATACTCCCGATTCCCTCTCCAAATAATCGAGAAATTGCCTTCGCACAACTCTATTTCCTCCCCCCCTCACCCGTGCAAACGGTGAACACTCCCGATGAATTAAAGATGCAGGTACCGGTACGCCAATAAGCGCTCCTCCTGTACCACCACCTCAACGGAGCATAACTCGTGTTGCACAGAGACAAAATTCGCTCATGACATACGAGGGATATAATCATGTTCCGAATCTCGTATTCCGAGAATCGCGTTTGATCGACGCTAGGTATACCCTTACTCGAATACCGGTACCGGTACGGTACAATTGAGTGAGGAGAGAGGAGGATAGATAGAATACGGGCATGGCTTAGGGGGTTTGAGTAAGGCTGAATTAAAAACTTTTTTTCATGAGCGGGTTTTCTAGAAGATAGTTGGAGGGGATGTGATCGTAGTTTGCCTTGTGCGATTCGAATATAGGGGGTGTTCGAGGTTACGAAGGCCTCCGCTGTCCGTCGGGCACTTTGGTTATTTCGCTCCGCTCCTGGGAGTTCCTCCCGGTGGTCGTGTCGAGTATTGATCCTTTGGTCTTGTCTTTTACATTGTCTTGGAAAAGAAAATTTTTCTATAGGCATTTGCTGCAGCTTTCGGAGAGACTTCTTCTGGGTTCGTTTTTTTATTTTTAATTTTTATTCCTGACTCTCCGATATCTGTCTGTGTATATATGAGGGACCTCAACTAGAAATACCGTAGTTTTGCTTTTCGTTTCGCCTCGTATCCTTTCTACAGGGGGCTAATATTGAAGGGTATTTGCGAGTGAGAGCTTGTGATATGTCTTACTAATCGTGAATTTGCAGGGTTCGAAGAGGGTTGGTGATGGCTATGGTTTAGGGCGGAGTAGAGATTTGATTGTAATTAGTCCTGTTGTATGATATGTTGTTTTTTGAAGGGAGTGTCACGATTAAACTTCCTGAAGAAATTGTCTTTTGGATGTGCTTGCAGTATATATACGGGGAGGTATTTATTTACTAAGGAAATTCGGCGGGTTCTCCGAAGGGCACAGGGCATCATACTTTACGCATCCTCGACCCAACTGATGCTTCACAGAGGGATGTGCGAAGACTCAAGTTGGACACATTCCAACATTCAGGAGCATCGACGACCATGTATCATAGTTGAAAACCTTCATCAATAGCATTATACTAAATGATCTGCAAATTAAGCATGAAGTATAATACGAGTAAAACACATCAACCACCCATGTCGCCAAGTCCTGGAAATAGAGCTCGTGCAACAAGCGAGATTCCGTCCCGGCTCCCTTCCCGCCCGCGCACACTTCCTTACCTTGGTATGGTACTGCACTTTTACTTGTACTACCGGCGGGCTCCCTATCCTGTGGTTACAGGCGCCTGTTCGCAGATAAGGCAACCCATGTCGGGAAACAGTGCCCCCATTTGGGACCTCATGATCCCAATACAGTACCGTAGAAAACTCCTATACAGGTAATCGGCCCATGTGCTATGCTGCTCAGTCCCTCCGTGAGCCTACTCAGCAGTGATAACAATTCTTTCGATGCAGCAACTGATATGAAAAGCTTATGTTTGGTTGGATCCGCTATCCTGCATATATACTCGAACGATGACTTGCCTCATTCTAGTTCCTTATATACTGCAATCAGCGTGGGCGGAGGGAGTAAACGCTAGCAGTTGTGATCGGGCTCTACAGAGGCAGTTTCTAATGGGGTTGCTGGAGATCCCGGAGGTCATCGTGGGGGGACGAGCACCAGGGCTTTTGAGGACTATTGAGCCATTCCACTCGGTTTTGGAGTTCTTCCAGTGGGCACCCGACCGTATTGATGCTACCGGTCTGGCGATAAATTCGGCCACCCATCCAACCGCCGGCATCCTCCACCCGGTTTACCAGACTCCACTTCTAAAACACACCTGTGGAGCCACCATCCCATCGTTCACCTTCCGGATCTTTTGTCAAATCTACGCTCTTATAGTTTCTCCTCTTTCCCTCTCTCCTCCCTCCTTTCCACTACTACTCTTTTACTGACCCGAATATCGCACGGGCATTACGCTGGGCTACCTATTACCATGCCCTACCATCCAGCCGATATTCCAATCTTCACCTCGCAATACACTCGAGCATCTTGTGGCCGTGTACAATTCAAGGCCTTTTCTCCTTTTGGGTTTTTCCTTCATCTTCCCTCTAGCATACATAAGAAAGCAGTCTCACTCTAGTATATCCTTCCCCTCTTTCCTTTGGCGCATGAGGAGGAGCAAGGATCTTATAGTGTGTTGTCTGTCTCTCGCGGCATACCCTCTAGGGCGGATTGTCTTTCAGTGGCGGGGGGGTGTTTTGGATAGATGTTTTTTAGTATGATATACAGGATAGTGGTATTGTACCATCCCGATACCCGACACGGGAGGAAGGAACAACCAAAAGCTTGGTTAGCATCCTTTTAGAGCCTCCGCTTCAGTATACTGTAGCTTAAGTTATTGCACGAAGTTGGTCAAGGCTCCAAAGCCAACGCTTACCGCGATTAGTGTCGCGCCGTGAAGTCAAACCTCCCTCGGTGCCAAACTTTATTCAAATCTTCTCTTTTTTTACTCGTACTTCTGACCACTGTGCTATACTGTACTAGTACATTACGTGCCCCCCAAAGCCTTTACCTTTGCACACACAATATGATGAATCATCATAACTATTCACAAGTATACAATTCCAGCACTCATTCCACAACCACCACCTCAGCACCTCTTCCGCACGCGCGCACACAACCATCCAAAAAGAGCACTCACACTCCAGTCCCCCCCCCCACCTCAAGAAGAGGAGAAAAAAAAAACCCCTACCGTAAAGTCCTCGGTACCATTTTCTATCCACCTATCATACCGAATGACAGACATAAACCGGACTTGACCCCACTTCTGGTACAGTACGTAGGGGGGGGAATGACAGGTAATAGCTAAGACATGCGGAACACCACCATGAGGAACAGTAACTTCAACGATGACACCCGATCCGCCATTAAGGTAAAACTGAAAGCTATCCGGAAACTAAAGATGTCGGGATTTCCTCGGCGGGTTACGAATTGTCAGATGTAGGTCTCACATTCGAGTCCCTCCCTACCGTAACTCAAAAATAATAATATTTTTCTTTTTTAGGAAAAAAAAAAAAATTAATAAACTTTGACCGGGCGGAAGGCTTTACTCGAGTATTCACTCATTCATTCGTTTGGTAGGGATTAATAATTATCGGGTGGTTGGTTATAATATGGTAGTTATCATACGGTAGGTTTCCACATTGTGCTAAAGTGGGACATAAGTTAGGCTAGTTTAGTGCCGGTATTTCCTCATGATGGTTGATTCTTTCCCAAGTGCTGAGAGCGGGTTATATAATATTATTATTACCTTATTATATGGCCAGCAAGGTCTGGTATCATATCATTGGATCCCCGAGGGCGGGTCAAGTGGATAAAGGCACTCACACAATCCATCTTCTCGTACAGAGGCTACCCTCACCCCAGCGGGAGCAACGATAATAATATGTATTGCGCGAAACCAGCAGCTGAAATCGATTTAAACATCACTTATGGTACAAATAGTTTACCTGCCCCGAGTGATGAATCGTGACTCCCACACCGAGGAAGGCAAACTAAATTCACCAGATCTCCCCACTGAGCTCACGGATGGATTGGCTATCTTTTCGTAACCTAACCTGATTGAAATAAGGGGCGGCCATGGCCAATCCATCGACTACCAATTCGGCACAAACACAGTCTGGAACATGTACATTACCCATCCACCCATCAAAACAGCACAGCATAAAAACTAACCCATTAGCCGGCAAACCTAAGTCAGTCAAGGGGACAAAGTAGCCAACTTAAGAGAAGAGAACAAAACAGAACGAACCACCCCCGACAACAGAACCACCCACCCGTTCACGGCCAGGGATAGTCATTCTTTTGATCACTGCAGTTCTCCTTTTTCTGCCCTGCTCAATCCTCTCACTGCTGCAGGGGACATCCCACGAAAGAAAAAGAAACCGAGAAAAAAAAGAAAGAAAAAAGACAAACAAACAAGCTAATTCAACTCCGACGGTGGATCTGATAGCTCTGAACTATCATCGTCCTCCTCTTCAACACGTTTCTTCACCTCTACTTTTTTATTCTTGGCTGGTAAGGTAGCCTTCTTCCTTCCGCCGTTCGCGCTAGCGGTGGTGGCGGTAGCAGTGGTTGTGCCCTTTCGCTTCGGTCTTCCGGAGGAAACGGCCACAACGGTATCCTTCTTCGGTCGCCCGATGGCACGCGCCGTTCTCTTTGGCTTTCCTACTTCCTCCTGTGCTTCCATCCCCTCCTCCGGCGCCGCCTCATCATCTCCGACATCTGGCGCTTGGGGTGAAGTATCCTTCTCGGAAACCTCGTCGCCGTCCTCCATCTCAACGTCACTTTCGGAGTCGTCGTTGAGAGAGACTTCCTCCTCGCTATCACTCGTCCCGTCGTCCTCTGCATACTTGACGTTCTTAGTAGCTCTACCGCTGCGTCTACGCTCCGATGCGGAGATCTCCGCCGAGGGGCGCTTCTTCTGCTTTGGAGTTTTTGGCGGGCGGCCGGGCTTGCGTTTCTCTGTCGTCCCCCCGGCTGCTGCTCCTTCTTTAGAGGTGGTTGCTGGGGTGGCTACCGCCGGTGGTGAGGGTTTGGAGCGCTTTCTCGCGGGAGCGGCGGAGGAGGGAGTGCGGGTTGAGGGGGCTGCGAGATCAGCCTTGCGCTTCTTCCCCTGTCGACCAGTAGATCTGGGTTTAATTAGGCTGTCCAACTTGATATCTATTCCCGCAGGGAGGAAAGTTTTCACCGCAATGTCGCGGCTCATTTCTTCGCTGACCATCGGTGCGAAGAGTTTTATTGGGAGGCGGATTTTGCCCGGCCATGTCTGGATGTTCCAGTGGTGGAAGTCGGCATATCGGCGTACGACTGCTTGAGCTAGTTCGGAGATGTAGTAGAGGTTCTCACTGTTGTCACTGCTTAGCCCATCGCGGAATTGCTTGACACGTTGGGCGATGTGATATATTAGACCAAGGTTTTCTTCGGTCGCTACGGATTTTAGGTAGAAGAGGATGAATCTGCAGAACCACGCACGCACACTTTCATCAGCTCCGTCTGTCTCTGTTCCTTGTTTTCGAAAATCCCTATCCCCGGCATTTTGTTTCTCCCCTGGACTTCGTCGTAAGCGGGAAAGCAGTGTGGAGGTTCACCCTCGCTCCGCATACATGGCTTGGAAAATCAAGGAATAACGAAAGGTGGAGGAAAAATGCGAGATAAGAAAAAAAAAGGGTATGGGAAAAACTTACTTCGCAAAATCTGCGAGGTCGTCTATCATTGTGCCAAAGTCCGGGTGGTGGGCGAGTAAACTTAGAAGTCTGGCAAACACAATTTCCATCGTGTTGTTTGTCGATCTCATATGCGCCATGCGAGCTTTTATCCAGGTGATTGTCTCGTTTTTGGCCTCTGTAACGGGTTCGTATGCCATGAGAAATAAGATTGTATAGTACCTGGGCGTGAGTCTGTTTGTGCCGAGATATTTCTTAACCTTGCTAACGAAGCCATTGCGAACTTCGAAGCAGTTGTCCTGGGCAACGCAAGCTAGTCTGTTAAAGTCAAGTGGGGTGATGAGCTCCTCGTAAGTTTTGTTGTTGGACAACTTCAATAATGACTGAGCTGCAAGTAATCGGAGGCGGGATTGATGCGATCGTCTGTGGATTCAGAGTTAGCGCAAATTCTCACCGGGCGAGAAAAATATCTGGCGACGAACGGTGTGTTCTTCTCGGAAAATAACTCTCCCTCATTGTTCACCAGTTTGATGAGCAATGTCATGACACTCTCCAATGTAGTACCTGCCCCAGCCCCAGCCCCAGCTTCAGCCCTAGCCCTAAGTCTGTTGACCAAAATCCTGAGGGCAAGCAATTTTGCTTTGCACTCATCATCAAGAAGCTCGTCGTCGACCCACTCCTTTGGATTCGCCTGATCCTCTTCTGTCGCCGGATTTCTCACCTTGAATAACACATCTTTGGCAATAGCAATGATCGCCTTGGATTCGTCTTCACATTGCTCAGGCGCTAAAAGTACCAACTGCGAAAGGCAGGCTAGTTTTGCCAAGAAGTGCTCTTCTCCAAGCTTGGGGTTCTTAATGCACGCCCTAAGTAAATCCGAAGCATACATAACCTTTCGATTCGCGGAATACATCAAAATGGATACTGCATGCTTAGCTGCCGCAGGTGGCTTTCCGGTCAACGAGAAATTGACAAGTGCATCCAAGAGCTTGCGCTCCTGGGGCATGTCCTTGGGATAAGATTTAGCGAAGCCCGCACAGGCTTTTAGCGTATCCACTGCGCCGGAATCTGCTGCACCACGGTTCTTGGACAAGGATTGTTCTTGGAGGAGATCGGAGAGTGCTTTAACATTTGCTTTGAATACAGCGGGATTTGAAGACGACATTTCCTACTCAAAGATAAGCGAATATCTGGAACTTTCCACTATCGGTATAAATACCTTCAGAACCTCATGTGCTACAGCTCCAAGCGAGTACTCATCCGTCCTGGAAAACTCCACAATGTGCGGCACGTGGCTCTTGTTGTAAATCAGTTGACTGACTCTATATAATAAAGGGGTCAAGGTCTCCATAATGGTCATTGTGGATCCAGGTCCTTCTGTAATCCTCTTCTTGGTCTCTTTGAGCGCTTTGACTACCGTTCTGTAGTCGCTGTCAGGGCTAAAACAAAATCTGATTAGTTGGTAACATCGGCGGTCATGAAGCTTTGCGAACTTCATCAAATTCTCCTTAGCCTTGGGGGTGTCGGGGAGCTTTTGGGATAGCCATTCGATAAACTTATGGAGCGCCTTCTTGACAAGATCTTCTTCAATACCATCGTCAATTATGCCTCCCTGTGATGTGTTAGCAACCTAATAAACGTAATAATCAAGGGAACCTTACATTATAATCCTCACAGGATTTCAAAAACACATCCATGACTTTAGCATACGAGATTTGTCTCAATGGAACCGCAAACAAAGCCTTCTTTGCCTTTGGGTCAAGGCCTCTCACCAAGACTAGTAACCTCTGGACGCGGATTTTATCACCTTCTTGTATCTCCTTCTCCTTTGCCTTCTCCACCTCAGCGGCATCTCTCTCTTTCCCCTTTCCATTGCTCTTTCCGTTGGTCTGTTTATCAGCAGCAATCCTACTCTCCGATTTTTCAATTGGTGGATAGTTGACGGGAATCAGGACGCCAAAGAGGACATGATCCAAGAGGACGTTGACCTCAGCGTCATTAATGTAGAATGTATCCAGAATCTTACTAGGAATCCAGCCAAGCTGATTCATAATAGCCTCGTTACCCGAGAGGATATCGGGATATGCCATATTCCACATCCGGGCAAGGCAAAACATTCCCTCCCATCTGACTGAAAACTTTTTATCCCTAACCCTTTCGCCCAGATTATGCAGGATTTTCTTTCCCCAGCCCGACGTTTCTTCCTCAGTAACTTTGGATTTCCCCTTGGCTTTTCCAGTGGAAGTCCCAGTAGCGGCTGCCGAATCGTACGTATTGAACGCGGAAAGATTTGCGCCTAGCTTAGTTGTGATGGTTGTATAATCGAGCTCGCCCAACGAAATGCATGAAGTTAATCTCACTCGATCATCAAGATCATTAAGCTTCCCCGCCACAGGCTCGACAAGCTGCACAGCCATAAGATCAGAGCGTTCCTTGATGATTTTGATTGCCGCTTCTGCCCATTTAGATCTGACAATGTTTGATCTATCGTTGGAACGACCAATCCACGCCTTCCATGTGACAGGCGCCGAGCTGCCGAAATTTCCCGTCAGTGCCATATCGCCAATTGTCTCGGTCGCCAGTATTCGCAGCTCCGCATTCTCCGCCAAAAGCTCTTGTTCCAGTTGCGGTATCACATTCTGCAACACCGCAGGGCAAGCTTTCCAGAGTTCTTTCACGAGAAGATGGGCTTTGTGTAGCTCATGTAGATCTTCCGCCGAAGGCTCGTGATTTGCGGTCTCGGCGTCCGGATCGTCCAGGTCAGAGTCCGGAGACATTGATGTGTGTCGTCCAGCAGCCTTGCGTGCTCTTGAAGAAGGCGAGGCATCAAGAATAACTTCCGAGAAATACTGGCAGATGTGGCGTGCCATTTTGTCGATAGATGCATTACAGATAGACTTGGCCATATTGTATGCGGGCGGCGGTAAAGCACTGACAAGTTTCATTTGTTTGTCTTCATCTTTTCCCTTCAAAGCTATCCCCGCACCTTTGTCCTTCGCATCCGGCACACCCGGCTTCGCTTTTCTGCCAGCCAAGTTCTGCAGGGCCGTTTGATTGACTCGGAAGAACTGTGCAACAATTATATCCACCACTTCCGTCGGGAGAGAATTGCACTCCTCTATGAGCTGGATGAGAATGTCGGTCATTTGGTACTCTACATTTTTGGGTCCGCCTGGTTTGGCTAGGTCGAAAAAGGTGGTGAAAATCTTTAGAGTGATGGCCTCACCATTGGGAATATCGGATATCAAAACGACGGACTTTACAGAAGCTAATGATTCGAGGAGGTAGAGATATTGTTGGTAGTATGGATTTTCGGCATCCGCAAGCCCTTTTAACTGTCGTACGAAGAGCTCGAAGATATCCTACACGTGACGAGGACGTTTCAGTTAAAAACGAGCAAAACACGGATCCCCCAAAGCAATCGAGACAAACAGTGGTCGCGTGCGCAGGAATGGAGGTCAACAACGCGGGGAGGAAGCAGCACTAACCCTGAGTTGAACGGCAGTGTAAGGTGCATCCGGCGCATGAAGTCTTAGCATATCTGCCAAACAGCAAGCTGTGTAGGCCTTGACACCATTATCTTTGTGTTGTAGCAAGCCAACTGACACCAGTTCTTTGGCCGGAGTCGCCAAACTATCGCGATCCACAGCCTCCTGCTCAAGCGCGACAAGTTCCTTAGAAAGTGCCTTGAGACGGGTTATGAGAGTACCGGTAGGAATAGGCTTGCCAGCTTTCCATGAGAGCGGTTCGTGAAATTGCAAGGCGTTTTCCGACGATGAGTGTTGCTCGTCCTCGTCCTCCGCAAGAGGGCGAGAAGAGCGGGCCATCGCGATCTGGAAGCGGACGGTGATTATTGAGTTTCAATAGGGATGGCAGTGCAAGAGTGACGCGACCGTAGAGCGATTGATGATATGGGATGGTGTTCTGACTTGTGAGTCTCAGACTCTCAGCGCGGGAAAGAAAGGAAGGGGGGGGGGTGAGCGTGGCCGGGTGTGGATGAGCGAGGGTTAGGGGTACGGAGGTGAGAATTCGTGAGATCAAGCGACGGGGGTTGGGCAAAGAATCTTTCGTCGTTTGCTGCCACCACCACCACCACCAGTAATACCAAAATTAATATCGTTAAACGGGGGGCTCCTCCCCCGTGTGCGGTTTCTCTCACCAGCGGGGCCTTTGTTGCTTGTATCCTTTACGAGAAAGAGGCATTGAATCACAGAGGCGGAAGAAAGGATCGATGCCGCAGTCAGGAAGATCAAGACACAAACGGTTTCTGCGCAAGCACGGCAGAGGCTTGATCTAGATTCCCACCGGCTTTGTAGGTACTGTAGATGTGGTCTAAATCTCCGGCACTGGGTCTGCTCGTGCGGAGTGATTCTTGGAAGTGTTCTGTATGGAAGCGCACAAGTACAATAAGTCACGGGCAGAGGCTCAAAGACGCAGCGCCAGTATCGTGAGCTTGGTTAGGCGGCTGGTGGCAGACCTTGCCATTCCATGGTATGATACTGGTACAGTACTTGTAAATTTATCATAATAATATATATTATCATACCCAAGTTGTGCATAACAAGACCTTGTCTACTCGGGTGTTTAGGGTCTAGGGTTTAATCTACTGTAACGGCAGACCATTTCGGGCACGATAAGTTGGCGGGGGGGGCTAGAGCTTGCATACGAGCACACGACTTGGGCTGTTAACGAGCAAATAACCGTGACTCTATACATAGCATCCTACCGGTACTCGTATTATCGGTACCGGTATGATATGTACGGTGCCATTAGCGAACGACATCACTTGTAAAATAGACTCTGGAGCATTCTTCACTTCGTTTGTGTTTATTTATTCATTCACTCTCTCGTTCTCTGTACCTGTACTACCGTACTTACCATATGACATGATCCCAGGTTTCAGTGCTCGAGCACCGTGCTGTATGCGCTGCGATCGTGGAAAACTGACCGACCCAACCAACCCGCTATCCTCACTTCACCATTGGCTCTGACCGCCCCACCCGGCATTGCCAACCTTGTCCTTCCTCCTTTCCTCCCTTCCTCCCGCTGCTGCTGTCTGTTCTCTCCTCACAATGGTCTGTGCACCACCTGAGCTGGTATTTTCTCCTGGGTATCGTGACGTTGTATGGGGGGGCCTACCTAAACCTGGAGCATGCTGGCGCCTGGTATCACATCCCGCGCGACCCACTCACCCGGAAGAAGCATTATCACAAATATAATACGGTGGTAAAAATCAACATTATTCCTCTTATATTCCCCCAGTCTGCCTTCCCCTCTTTTCTCCGCCTCCTTATTGTTGTCAGTTTCCAACGTCTTCCTCATCAGATGAACTCCTGGCTTTCGTCTGAACATTCTCGTCGCCATGTCTTCCGCGCCTCTTAACCTCTCCCACCTCCCGCCGACATTCCTCCTCCCGACCCGACTGGCCCAGCCGAAAGCTAATGAGATCTCGAGCCAGCTCCGATCCTGCAAATGCCCATTGACTAGCAACCCCACTGATGCTAGCCTGTTTGTCGGGGACATCAACATGCCTAAGCGCTGTGAATTCGAGCTTCGTGGACGCGGACTAAGCGTTTCTTCAAAGGCGTCTCCTCACGCCAAAAAGGTTAGGGTTGTGAAACTCAAGTGGTTCACGGAGTCGTATGAGGGCTCGAAACTTCTTCCCATCGATGAGTATATTGTATGGACTGGCTATGTGCAACCGTCGAAGCGGCCGTCAACGGTATCCTCTCCCGAGCAGAATGAGGGGCAGAAGAGCGCTTTGGAGAAGGATGCGGCGGACCGCCAGCTTAGGAAGGAGATATTGGAGAGAGCTCGACGTGATCAGGTTCGGTATAGCGAGGAGAAAGCGCATGATACACGTGATGACATTCGGAAGCTTCAGGAAATGGAGCTCTTGTATGCGACTGGGAGACAGAGAAAGGGGATTAATGAGTTGATGGCGATATCAAAACCAGGCTCCAAGAATGGGGTAAGGCAGAGCACACCAGAGTACGAAGAGAGGAGGGAAAAGGTTGTCTCGAGGGGTAGACCAAGATTACTAAAGGAGATGCCTGACTGGATACAACAACGCGTTTGTACACCCTTCTGCGCTTATCCTCCACACCATTATCGTCTACTAACCTGCTTTAGAACAAATACTCCTGCTGCCGCCCTACCCCCCTCACGTCCCCTAACGCTGATTTTATATCTCTCCTGGATACTATAAAGCTCTCACGGGTCTTAACCTCCGACGGCGTCGGCATTCGCGCCTACTCGACGGCAATCGCTACCCTCCAAGCCTACCCATACCCATTGATCTCTCCCTCAGAGGTCTCTCTCCTCCCCGGCTGTGACGGGAAATCCTCCGCCCTTTTCGAGGAGTACATAACCTCCCCGGACCATGGCTTAGCCGTCGTCCGGGAACTGGAAAAGTCACCCTCCTTCAACATCCTCAAACTATTCTCCTCAATCTGGGGCGTTGGTCCGGTCGGTGCTCGGGAGTTCTTCTACGACAAGGGGTGGAAGACGCTAGAGGACATTGTAGACCACGGGTGGGGCCAGCTTACCCGCGCGCAACAAATCGGCGTCAAGTATTTCGACGAATTTCAAAGTCCAATATCAAGGAACGAGGCGAGGGATATTGCTGCGGTCGTTGGAAAGGCCGCTGCCAAGCTCCGGGCGGGAATGGATTATACCATCGTTGGCGGGTACCGCCGCGGCAAGATGGAAATCCACGATGTGGACATTCTTTTGTCACACACAACGCACAGTATGACCACCGGCGGCGTCGTGAAAGAGCTCGTTTCGGAACTCGAAGCGAGCGGGCATATAACGCATACCCTACACCTCGGCCGGGAACTCAACAACACAACAACCATAAACGCCCACCGCTACGGCTTCGACTCCCTAGAGAAAGCCCTCGTGGTATTCCTCGCGCCAAACTCAGGCCTGCACCGCCGCGTGGACATAATTCTCGCCCCACCGGTAAGCGTTGGCTCCGCACTCCTAGGCTGGACTGGCGGGACGACATTCGAGCGGGATTTGAGGCTTTGGTGCGATAAAGAGCATGGATGGAAGTTCACTAGTGAAGGTGTGTTCGAGAGGATTACTGGGAGGAGGGTCGCAGGGGTTGATGGCACGTGGAGGGTTGGTGAGAAGATGGTTGAGGCGGAGAGGAGGGTTATGGAGGGGGTTGGGTTGAGGTGGTTGGAGCCTTGTGAGAGATGCACTGGGTGATCTGTTATATTATACTGCATATTCTGGCGTGGTGATTTCAAGATTTTTGGCTTTTGTTGTTGCTGAAGGTGCTTGTTGATTTATGGATCGTAGTCCAGAAGCGTTGCTGGGATATTTGATGGAAGGGTTTGCTTCATTTCTTGTGACGACGATATTAGCTACTATTCTACATAGAACTTTGCTTCTTTCATCTTTAGGTAGCGGCGCATGATAACCACACAATACAATACGAAGCACATTATCAATACAATCCTCCAAAGCCGGACGGCCACACGGCACACGACACGCCAGAGAAACGTGACCGAGTGATCCCACATGAACCACCGATCACCCAACCCGCCTCCCGACCTCCGGACCTCCCGTTATTAAAACTATAGCAGGTAGATTGGTCCCACTCCAACGGGAGAGCTTCTGTTTGGTGCCCACGTTGGGTAAAACTCATGCCACTAAATCTGTCACGGCTTCGTGAGCTGGGTACCGCAACTTTGCTAATTTTTAGGGGATTTGCGGCAGTCAATCCAGGTACCGCCTACTTGAGTTGCAGTTGATCCGCGAGTAGGTTTCTTGGGGGTACGGAGGATTACTGCGCCTGTTTGCATTCCGGCGGTGGTATCGCGTAGAGCGCTCGACGACTCGTAGGCTCTAGAGGAGGAAGTGGCTTTTCATTGGATGGTATGGTGTATTGCCGCATTAGAGGCGATGGGAGATTATATACATTGCTGCTAGACAGTTACCGGACGCATAAGTTCTTTTTAATAAACGTGGCCCACTTGCCCTCCCCCGCCCCTGGCGGGTCCTGCGGAGATTATCGGATGTCGAGTAGCTTATCGTCTATGCCCGGAGAGCTCGGGTATAAATTGAAAGAGGGAGAAAAAAATAATCGCGCCAGAAACGCCGTTGAGGTTCTTAGGGTACATATCGAATAATATCTTTCGAGAAAAGGAGGAAGAAATGGGGAACAGGAGAATAGGTATCTGCGCTAAGATTGGGTGGGAAGGATCGAATTGGGGTTACGGATGATAGAGAGGTGGGAGAGGGGGTAACATAGTGCCCGAAGGGGGGTGGCGATGGTGAATTTTGGGAGAGGGGACTTAGGAAGCGGGCATGGGATGGTGGTCGGTGTGGTTGAGGGATTTACAGCTGGGACTGAAGTAAATATACTATACCGTGGTGTTTGGCCGGGATGGTCTACGGAGTCGGGATTGATATTAGCGCGGCGGAGTAGGATTCTTACGACTTCTTCATGGCGATTTTTAGTAGCTGCAAAGAGACGTGTTTTGCCATATAAATTTGCTGAGCTGGGGTTGACGTCGGCTTCTTTTAGTAAGACTCTTACTACTCCTTCATGGCCAATTTAGAAGCTCGAAAAAGTGGTGTTTGGCCATCGTAATCTGCTGAGTTGGGGTTGACATCGGCACGGTTTAGTATGATTCTTGCGACTCTATCATGGCTATTCGCAGAAACTCGGAAGAGTGGCGTTCGGTCATACTGATCTGATGAGTTGGGGTTGATATAGGCGCGGGTTATTAGGGCCCTTACGATACCACTTCCTCACGGCCACATGCAGAAGCTTGGAAGAGTGGTGTTTGGTGGTAGCGATTTCCCAATTTGGGGCTGACGTCGGCAGGGCCTAGTAGGATCATTACAAACCCATCATGGCCGTTTGCAGAAGCTCGGAAGAGTGGTGTTTGGCCATAATTTAACAATCTGCTAATTGGGGCTCATATCAGCGCCACTTAACGATAGGAATTATGGGGGTCAATGCAGTTCAATACTTTCCTAGATCACCACATTTGCTGCTATGGCGGCAGCGAACTGTGTTTGTTGTGGAAGGCCACAATTTCTTGGAAAATTCCGGAAGAATCGTTCCTCGTATCGGAGGTGGGAGTCTCTCTTCGAGTAGTTTTCGGCTGCTTTGGCATCGCGTTGGTGGATAAACGGGGGAGTGGATACAGACTATAGGATTTGTTGAAGTCATTCGGATATGCTTACTAGGATTTCCCAAGTTCTCACGAACACTTCTGAGAATGGACTGTAAGAACTACAGTATCACAAGAATGTGGCATCTCTATTTAGACTAAACCGGGTTAGGGAATTCCGGCGATAGCATGTGAGTATTTTTTGGTATCGGCGGAGGCGGAGGCCGGATTCACTGAGGTAACTCTAAAGAACATCGGGGGGGTTGGAGATATCCGATACGCATGCATTCATCAGCTCCTTTTATGAAGATTTTCTACTTTTTCTAATCTCCACGCATCCCATTACTCAATTGACAAGGCCTTTGCGAAATTCCCCAATTCCGTCTTAACCATTCCCAACATCGGAAAACAGGTGGATTACGAGTGATATCCTATGATTACGGTCGGCGAAGAAAAGAAGTCTGTGTGAATATGAATATACGCGAACTAAATTATAGAAATACTAGTTGCGCTCCCATTCGCCATCAATAGCAGATTCTACGCCCATTTCCGGACATACCGGTATCCCATCCCAGATAAGCCGTCGTGTCCCGGCGTCGTGGGTTTTGAGATCGTGGGTTTTAGCGGTATCGGTGCACTAGAAGGGTAAGCGATCGAGAATCATCGTGGAGGGGAATATGTTGCAGATTTGGCTCACAAGTTCCTTTTTGCCGCATGATTTTTACCATAGGGGAGTGGGAGAGATATTGTGTCCTTACACCTGAGTACGGGCGCGAGTAAAGTACACCGGCAGTAGAAAGGAATTGCCCAGTCACTAGTCAGTTGACGCT